CATGTGGAGTGTGTATTTGCTCTGGAGGTTTTTTGTCTATGCACTTAGAGGTTGTGGTAAATGTCAAAGCCATGAAAGATCCTCAGAATGCTTCTGAGGCTGGAAGGAGCAACTGAACCATTGGGTTCTGTGATTGGCTACTCTTGATTTTGGTGCCTTCAGTCCTGCCCCACCACATGCAAAACCACACATGGCAGTATAATTGAACCACTGTGCCTTCCACTTCTGTCTCTTGTCACAGCCTGCATTCCTTGCAACATAAATCTCTCAGCAGGTCTGTGTCAGAGACTTTCTCTCAAGCATGGCTACTCCTGCTCAGTCAATGCAGTGGAGTGTCCACAGGGGCACTGGGATGTGATTTTGCTGAGTTATCTTATCCCCAAAGTAGATTGGTCTCTGACAATACAATTCTTTTCAAGATGGCTGCTGAATATAGTACTTTAAGAGTTTGCTGAAAGATGCAGTGAAATTCTTCTCTAAAGTTAGCTTGTTGTGAAGACTCCAGGTCACCTTTTTATTTAAGCTATTGGCATGCAAGATGCAGCATTCTACCTGAAACTGTTTTTCTCCCAACGGAAGTGCCAGTTACCAGGTGCTAGCCTGTTTCTCTTCTCTTGCTTCACTGTTTTCCATAATCTATGGAATTCACCAAGTTTTGTTTTCTGTGCTGTCAATTTCTAGTGCTCACACAAGCAGTTACACACCTGTTAACTTTGTTTCTATTCTGTGGAGAAGCAAACTAGTACTGAGTGTCTTTATTCTGCCATCTTTGAGCCCTTTCTGTGTCTAATTTTGAAATCACCTTAATGATAGGCATACATGTATGGAAAAACATAGTGTATAGAAGATCTGGCATTAATTGCAGCTTCAGGAATCCACTGGAGATCTTGGAACATACTTCCCATGAATAAGCACAGGGAACAACTATATAAAAAGGAAAAATAAATCTAAAATTTCCAAATTATATTGTGAGTAATGGTTAACAGCCTGTGACAAAGATTTTGTTATCAATAACTATCATAATGTCATCAATAACTAGAAGGTATATTAGATTTTAGAACATCTAAGTGATTTCCTGAAATCTAGAGAATATATTGTATGGCAAACACATTCTTCTTTAGTGTAATTTACCAGATATTATAAAGAAACCCTCTTAAAACACATGACATCTTCACCTTTTCTCCTTGACATAAACATCCTGACATGTTCAAAAATCACCAGAAATAATAGATAATATATAACCCAAATAGTATCATTTCTTCCTCCTTTTTCTTCTAATTAGGACTTGCTTCAGGGATACAGTATTCTGCACATAGTAATGGTTCAGTGAGGGCTCTCATGTCAATGGCTTTGGTCATTGATAGAATACTTGTCAGGAATTCCCTGGATATTTTATCTTTTCACTGTATGCTTTAAAAAAGCTGCTGTCCTTTTCTCCTGTCTCTTGCAATATGGGGATTTCAAGAAGGCTCTATGGCAGAAAATGGCACAGATTCCTTACTAATATCAGTGACATATTCACAGAAAATTAAAAAAAATAAAAAAACTCAGTAGACAGATAGTTTGAGCATAGTTACTGAAGGTAGATCAAAAGGATAAATATATAAAAATGGGAATCTCAGAATAAAAGTTGTATTCCAGATGCAGAGAGTAACCAATCCAGACTGGAAAACATCAGAAGACTACAGGAAATATAGCTTCAGGATTTGTTTCACTACCAAATGTTTATGAATGAATTGAAAGGAGGTATAAAAAACTGGGAGAGTGTTTGAGGATATACTAGTATTAAGCACACAGAAATCTAAACAAGCAAACATAATATAAAAAACAAAAACTAAGTAAATTATGAACTTCAGGGTAATAAAATAATGTTATGCAGAAAGGGAAAAAACTGATATTGTACAACCCAATTGAATGATGTAACACATTTATATATAGTCATAATAATGTTAATATTGAGTATCAAATTGATGAATATTAAGGGAGGATAATGGGAGAGGAATTATGTATGTAAATAAAATGGTCGATGAAAGAATTCTAAAAGAGAATTTTTAAGAAAAAATCCTTGCATTTCAAAATATGAATAGACAAAGTCTAATGTTGAAAAATCAAGAAGTAGCAATATAAATAGATATGGAAAAGATACTTGTCTATTCCCCATACTTATTCTCACCTTTTTCCAGAATAATAGCAGGTTTAGCTGGGCACATTTATGTCACAGTAAAATAATATTCGTGCTTTCGCTGTAGTTTGGGATGACCATGTGAATGATCTTTAGCCAGTTGGGTGTAAGTTCAAATATCATATGGCAGTTTTACCCTTTAAAAGGTGTTTTTTTTTTTTTTTAACACCCTTTGACACTTTTTCTTACCCTTCTCTGTTGTACTGCTTAGATTACATATGCCATCATTTTGGACTTTGAAGAGGATGCATTATAGGATAACAAAATAGAAGATGAAGGCATCATGGTTTCAATTTTATAGAACAGAACTACTATGCTAGCTACTGGACTTACACATGGAATTATTTGTCTTAGTCCATGTTACTTTGAGTTTTTGTAACTAACAGCTAAATGTAAATTTAATTAATATAGCACATCATGTATAGATGGAAGTAAATACAAATGAATCATCTAACAGAGTGGAAAGTGTTTGATTCTGGCTATTGGAAAACAGTAGGAGTGGAGAAGTGAGGAATGTTCATTTTTTGACAAATTCTATAGAATGACTTAAGCTATATGCATGTATAACTTTGATTTAAAGAATTAAAAATAAATATGACAATGAGGACATATATTCTACACTTTCCTCTTTTTGGCTTTTACCTAGGATTCTCATACAATGATCCCACTCCAATTCTTCTTCTGTCATTTGTATCTTTGTGTCATCCTTGCTAGAATTTAAGCTCCTTAAAATTAGGAAGTGTCTAATGCATTTCTCCCTCCTTGTTAGTATAACTAACATATAGCATCATACTCAGTAAATACAGAATTGAAATTGATTTCCCATCTGAATTCTAACAAGAAAGAGCAAGGCTCTAAACAGGATATTATCTATTTTTAAAATAGCATTCGTTTTGAGAAATCTGTATTCCACCATTTCTCCCTATGTTGTTTTTTTTTTCATATGTATGTGAGGAAATACTTTATTTCTTCTAGAATAAGTTTATGTTTTGTCACTTGTTCTTTAATAGTACTATTCTGTGGATCTCTTGGGATGATTCTTTGGTGTTTGCTGAAGCCAGTTCTTACTTGCTAACAAGACTCACTTGTTAGCATCTCTTCACAACTTTGAATTGAAAGACACATCAGCTATGGTGGAAATATTTTTTTTTGAGGGGAGGTAGGGGGTACCAGGAATTGAACTCAGAGGCACTGAGCCACTGAGCCATATCACCAGCCCTATTTTGTATTTTATTTAGAGACAGGGTCTCACTGAGTTGCCTAGTGCCTCGCAGTTGCTGAGGGTGGCTTTGCACTCACAATCCTCCTGCCTCAGCCTCCTAGCCTCTTGGGATTACAGGCATGCACCACCATGCCTGGCTATGATGAAAATCTTTTTTAGTTTTATTAAATAGTGGGGATTGAACCCAAGGGCTTGCACATGTAAGTGCTTTATCACTGGACTGCATTCTCAGCCTTTGTAACAATAATTATTTGAGACAAGGTCTAAGTTGCCCAGGTTGACCTTGAATTTTCAATCTTCATGCCCATGCCTAAGCCTCCAAAGTAGCTTAGATTACAGGTGTGCACCCCTGGTCTAGGGTGGGAAATTTTATACCACAGAAATTAATAAATAATAATGTCACAATGTCATTTTCCTTAAACAGCTGATTGTTAAATACCAGCACCACCACTACCTAAAACCCCCTATTAAGGTTTTCATAATTAATCAGCATATTTTTAAATCTATCATTCATTACAGGAATATGTGAGATTTATTTCTGATTACCTCATATAATTTAATAGCATTACTGAAATACATTTAACATCATATAATTCACTTATTTAATGTATACAGTTAAAACATTTTCAATGGATTCACAGATATGTGCAATAATATCAATTCTCTACTTTCAAATTAATTAGATTGATTCAGAACAAAAAGAAACCCCTATTCATTAGTAGCCATTACCCTGTCCTCCTTAACCTCGGGTGTGGACATTGCTAATGTACCTTCTATCTCTATAATTTGCTTATTTTTTTCTGCACATTCCATATAAATTGAATCACATAATATGTAAAATAATATGTGACTAGCTTATTTGCTTTTGAATGATACTTTCAAGGCCTATCCATTCTGCAGGCTGTGTCTACTTTTCATTCCTTTATATGGCTATATAATATTCTATTATATGCATATACTACATTTTGTTTTTCCATTCATTTGGTAGACATCTGGATCGTCTCCACATTTTGAATATTGTGAATACTACTGTTATGAATATATGTGTATAAGTTTTTGGGTGGATATATGTTTCTTTTAAATTGAGTATTTATATAGAATAGAATTGTTGAGAACTAAGATACCTCTATGTTAAAATTTTGAAGACAGTTTTCCAAAGTGGCTAAAAGATTTTACATTATGCCAAGCAGTGTATAAGGGTTCCAGTTTCTCTAAATCATGACCAAAACTTGTTATTGTCTGTCTTCTTTATTATAGTATAATGGTATGTGTTGAGTGGTTATCTCATTATGGAATGATGTTAAACATTTTTTCATGTCTTTATTGGCCATTTGCATACTTCCTTGGAGAAATGTTTTCACAGATCCTTTGTTTATCTTTAACTGCCGTATTTGCCATTTCATAACTGAGTTGTAAGATTTATTTACATATTTGGATATGTTTAATATTAAATACATAATTTTAAGAATCTATCATTCTGTGGGTTATCCTTTCATTTTATTGATGGCATTGTTTTTAGCACTTTGTGTGGTATTTTAAAGCTTTCATTTATACCACTCATCAACAATAGCATGACAATTATTGAAAATGCCTTACCCGAACTATTTCACAATCAACATTTAATTCAGTTGCAACAGCTTCAATCTTCTCTCTGCAAACAGAGCCCAGGCTGGTCATACCATTGTCCCAGTACTTCTTCAGGGTGGCTAAGTCTCGATCACTGAACTGAGTACGGTCCTGTAGCTAAACAATACATTTTTTATTAAAAAATTAGAATAAACAAAGAAAGCAGTGTTATAGAAAGGGTCATCAGGGTGAGCTATACTGTTACTTTAAATGTAAAATAGTAGGTAAATTCATTTCATAATTCTCTGTTTCCTTATTCTGAAAATGAGTATTTTCATTTATTTTATTTCCAAAATATAATCTGATGTGCTAGGATTAAGAGTTGGATTTTTAAAAAATATTTATTTTTAGTTGTAGTTGGAAATAATATCTTTATTTTATTTATTTATTTTTATGTGGTGCTGAATATCGAACCCAGGGCCTCACATGTGCTAGGTTGATGCTCTACCATTGAGCCACAATCCTAGCCAAGAGTTGGATTTTTATCAGAAATTTTTAATATGTTGGTTTTGAGTAATTACAATTACACAAATAATACTTATTCATTGTCAAAAATGTAGATAAATAAGAATTTAAGTCACCCCGAATTTGTAAATAATACTTGCTAACATTTAATATATATTTCTTCATTTTTTGTATAAAACACATTCACATTCAAATACTACACACAGATAAAAACCAAAGATATGATTACATCAGTGCCTTTTGATAAATTAATCTAGATTTGCCATACAAACCTTCTAGTTATATTGTAATTAATTTTATAGGTAAGTAATTAAAATTTAAGAGGATAATATAGCTCTAAGAAAGCAAACATATTTACGGCTTCAAAATTTTTCACAATAAACCTAACCTTTTTGTTCTCAAAATTTTTTTTATTCTAGAAACTAAGGGCTTTACATTGTTTTAATTCAATGAATCCTAGAGGCAACCATAGGAAGTAAATTAGAAACATGATAGGATAATGACCTCCATTTTGCTGATAAGGTTTCAGGAAATAAAGGTCAAAGGACTCATTCAATAAGGGCATACAGAGTCCATGACAGAGTTAGAAACATAAATAGCTCTGATTTTTTTCTACAGACTTTATCCCTATGAATTCTCCAATTATCTCAATGGGTGGTGGAAAAATCCAAAAATGGACTTTAATTGAAACTATGTGTATCTGTGTATTTGTCTGTGTATCTGTATATTTGTGGTGAGAGAAAAGACAAAGTGTATGTGTGTGTGTGTGTGTGTGAGAGAGAGAGAGAGAGAGAGAGAGAGAGAGAGAGAGAGAGATTGACTGTAAATGTGAGTTTAATACAAATGTTGAAAACGATGGCACGAGGTGTGAGTTTCTGTTGCTGCCTTCTGTCTGTCTGGTCCAAAAGAGAGGCAAGATATCACACACTTCCTAGACATAGATGGCTTTTAACATTTCCTTTCTAAATGAAATCTAAAATGGAATCTTTCCTAAATCATATTTTGGTAACAGTGGAAAATGATATATAAAACAATAACTCATGACTTTAAAAAATTACAATGGCCAAAAATGATGTAATACTAAACAATTGGGAACAAGTATGTTTTAAATTAATTTTAGCCACAAGGAGGAAAAGTAATATATGAATTCTCAGCTTAGTAACAAGAGTGATGTATCTATTAATATATTTGATCATTAGGTATATCTTTTCTCCTTACTTGAAAAAACCCCCCTGAGTAACATGTATTATATTTCCAAATACTAAATTACAAGTTCCCAATAAATGAATCAAAGCATGTCATCCCAGCTTTTTGTCTTCAAGAGGAATAGCCCTAAATTGTTTTATTTATTTTTTAACAGCCTGATGATCATATTAAGAGCTCATCCTACATCAACCGCACAATATTGTGTAGATTAAATTCTCAAAACTTAGAAAAACATAAACAATATAAAATTCTAGGAAGTTCCAAATAATTCATCAAAACAGCCAACATAAATATTCCCATAATTTTCCATTGCACCAAAATCTCCACTGCAGTTTAAGCTGTATTACTGTCAGAATGGAAGGAATAATGAACAGAACACTGAACACACTCAGCCAATTAATTTGTAATTCATTTAGAGGACATGCAAAGCTGATTCATCCCTTAAATTGAACTAAATAAAACCTGATTTGATTTGCTAGAAATGTGCTGGGGTCTTAGCATTAGCAATGCTAAAGGCGACCTTTTATGACAATGCCTATTAAGTAGAAGCTTATTGGGGAAGAGCGTTTATTTTTAAAGCTCCCTTAGAGCATATTTTAACTAAGAAAATAAATAAGGTAATAAAAATCAATTAGAATTAAAACTGAATACCTATTTAGAAAAGGGGAAAAATGGACATTTAAAGGAGAAAGTGATGTTTTCTCAATGTAAGACCAAAGTTAAAGTCAGTTTTATCTTTCTGTTGGAATCTCAAGCACCTTTATTTTATTAGCATCCTGAAGACTTAGCTGTGGTTCAGGTAAAGACAGGCAATTATTTTGTATATTTTGAGAAAAGAGTAGAACTCTAATAACCCAGGAAATCTAGGTGAAAACTGAGGCTTGGCACAAGTAACCAGATAATTTTGGTGGCTTTGCTCACCTCATATTGACATATAACAGAAATCTTCTGGCCTTTTCACAAATCTCAATGATACTTCTGGGAATTAATTAGGTCCTTTGCTTTTCTTTTAAAAATAACATTAAGTGACAAAAGTCTGATATGGGGTACAGAGTTTTCTAAGTATAAATCTTAGCTAAATGTGGAACTGAGCTATATATTTGTACCTAGATGAAGTTCTTTCGAATGACAACAAATATTTTGATGGGTCTTGCATTTAATCTGTATATTGCTTTTGGTAGTAGGGCCACTTTGGCAATATTAATTCTCCCTATCTAAGAACATGGGAGGTTGTGCCATGTTCTAAGATTTTCTTTAATTTCTTCTTCAGTGTTCTGTAATTTTCATTGTAGAGATATTTCACCTCCTTGGTGAGATTAATTCCCATGTATCTTCTTTGATGTTATTGTGAATGGGATGATTTTCCTGATTTTTTTATTAGCAGAATCACTGTTGAAATACAGGAAAGATACTGAATTATGAACGTTAAAATTATATCAAGCTACTTTACTGAATTCATTTATCACTCTAGAAGACTGCTGGTGGATATTTTTGTGTCTTCTAGATATAGGATCATGTCATCAGGAAACACATAATTTGACTTCTTCTTTTCCTATTTGTAATTTTCTTCTCTTGCTTGATTGCTCCGGATAGAGTTTCAAGAAATATATTGAACAGAAGTGGTGAGAGTGGACATCCTTGTCTTAATTTCTGATTTTAGAGGAAAGGCTTCCAGTTTTTCTCCATTTGATATGATATATAGTCTTTATAATGTTGAGGTAAGTTTTCTAATTCAAGTAATACTTCATTCAGCTTCCTTCATTAGTTTTTATTCATTCACTACCATTCCCTATCCAGAACCTCAGTTTTGATGATAGTTCATGCTGTTGAGATGTCAAACTAATCTTGTAAAATTTTATTCATCTCTCCACTAGATTATAAACTCCTTAATCAGCAAGGATCATGTGTTTTACATGTATTTATTTAATTACTTATTTATTTTCCAGTGCTGGAGATCAATCCTAGGGCCTTGGACAAGCTATATAGTGAGCTACACCTTTAACCCTTGTAACAAAACAGAGTCAGATAATCAGGAAGTTATGAAATGTGCTATAATCTTGCTCCCTTCCTTACTTGTAAACCCACAATCTTGACACCAAAAACAGCCACCATTAGTAATTTCTTCAGTATCATTTCAGGATAAAAATGCACACATATTCTTATAAAAACCACAACACATGGATTGATATTACAAATTTTTCCACTCAATAGTATGCCATGAAAACTTTCTATATCAATGTAGATAGATATACCTTAATCTTTGTGTGTGTTTATGTGGTAAAAACATTTAACATGAGATCAAACTTCTCAATAAAAATTTAAGTGTACAATATACTACTAATTATTATAGGCACAGTTTTTTCTGGAATGTCTCTAGCACTTATTCATTCTATGAATATATGCTAACTATTTCCCTCTCCCTGCTACTGCTGCTAGAAACCGCTTTTCCAGTCTCTGCTTCTATATAATTGACTATTTAAAAAGATGATTTATGTAAGTTAAATAATGCAGTATTTGAAATCAATAAATAAACAGAAAAAGTAAAGGTATTGTGTCCATCTACATCTAAAAATAAAAATAATGCAGTATTCATCATTTTGTGACTGGCTTAATTTCACTGAGTGTAATGTCCTCCAGGTTCACCAAGGTTGTCACTAATGACAGGATTTACATTTTTGATAATGAATATATATATATATATATTCATTATCAATATATATATATATATATATATATATATATATATATATATATTCACCCCCCATGCCATATTTTATTTATTCATTCTTCTTTCAGTGGACATTTAAGTTGTTTCATATTTTGGTTACCAGGAATAATGCTGCAATGATTATGGGAGGGTAGATGACTCTTAGAGATCCTACCTTCAAAACTTTTGCATATATACATAGAACTGGAATTTCTGGATCATGTGGTAGTTGTTTTTTATTTTGTGTACATCTCACAAAGTAAAAGTAAAGGGTAGTTTTTTGTTTGTTTGTTTTTTAGCTAAAATATTGTACTGTATCCTATATATACTATACAATATAGTTATTTATTACTGGGCATTTTGTTATTTTATGTTACTTGTATTAAAAAATAATGCTGAGACAGATATCCATGAACGTATATCTTATTTTATATTTTCAATAATTATGATGTGTAATTTCTACTAGTGTGTTTTGATGACTAACTTTTCTTTGTATAAGTGAGGAAGGGAGTACTGTCTTAGAGTTATGAGGATGGCCATAGGCCACAAGCTTTGGTACAATAACAGTGGGGGATTTCAATATCACACACTCACCAACAGATAGACCAGTCAGGTGAAAATTAATATATAAACTTATATCCCAACACAGGATCAACTGAATTATATTATTTACATATTCTTACTGCTGTAGAATACTGTATGCTACATGGGACCACATGAGGCTGCACTTGGAAATGGC